TAAGATAGCCAAGGTCTTCACGCAAGAACATTATAGAGCAAAAGAGAGTTAAAATCAACTTTAACTGATTGCTAACAATGATGTCTTTGGCTATGAATTATTGAGCACAGTAATTTTGTTTCCTTTTTTGTATTACAAAGTGCACCCCCCCCCCCCCCCCCAAATGGTTTTAACTATTGAAAAGGTAATGATAATTACAGTATCCTTTGTCTTTTAGTCTTTTAAAATGAGATAAAAATTTACAAACTGTATTGATGTGCAAGTAGGCCTACTGCAGTCTTAATTGTTAGCTTGTGTCGTTGGGTTCCTTAGCCTATTAATAATAATAAAGTGTTATCTCACTCATTGCTCCTCCCCTTTACGTGTCAAGTATTTATTGCTTTCCATCTTCTCTGGCCGAAATCACCGCTCATGTTCAGGTCGTAACTCATCATCGTGTTATAAACGCACCAATTAAAATTTGAAGAATGAATTGCTGGTTCAACATTACACAAAGGTGATCGGACATTCCCAGAGTACAGGTGCAAAGTCTGTTTAGCAAGTTCGGATGCACACCTTATAGATGGTGAGGGAAACAAAAGCACCAATGAAATCACAGTTCGATGTGATTCACAGAATTCTATAAATAAGTGTAGAGTTCTGTGATGTTATCCCATCTGACGCTGCCTTGTTGGCCCTGCCTACCGAATCACGCCTTGCTGTAGTTCGATGTTTGGAGAAATCAAAGGCGTTGAAAAGTTGACACCTGGGTGTGATCCTTTCATTGTAAGGCCCCTGCGCCTGAGGGGAACATTGTACCACTCACCGAGAAATGTAAAGCAGAGATGTGATCGTACGTATGAGTGTGGATGATCTATGAAGGTTTTTTTTGTTCAGTAAAGTATGATCTAAAATGGGGGAACTTCAGACTCGAGAGTGGGGTCTTAGGGATGACTTTTCTGTAGTAAAATTTGTTGTTTTTGGGGGGATTGTTTCTTTCTTTTTTTAAAACAACAGAATCTTAGGTGAACCGGGATAATAAACAATGGGATCTCAGGTGGAGACTGCTATGATAGGTTAAAACCGGGTAGAGTACTATTAAAGGAGACTCAAACTCTTTCCACCCCACCCCCCCCCTCATCTTTCTTTAAAAGAGAAGTTATTCACCATTGTTGTTAAGCAGGTACTGAATTAAAAAAAAAAATGGAGCCTCTGTGACATCTACATTTGCACATCAGTAATAATAATGAGATAAATGGGTTTTATAACATAAAATAAGTTTACTGACTTGCCTAATCTCAATCACCTCGGAATAAAACCTTCTTTCCTATCTAGATTTCAGTGTGAGAGTCAGGCAGGTTGACCATGGTTCCACTGCGAGAGAGGGCTTCTATCAGGCGTGCGTTACTGCCCACAGAACAGCCTCTATTAAATGTATAACCTCCTTGACTTCAACTCCCGGAATCAAAGTAAGCACTAAAAGATGGAGGAAGCTTCTCCTCAATTTGCTGTTGGACAAGGATTTTCAAGTTTTCAAATTCAAAGTCTGGAAAATGCAATTGATGTTTATTCAAAATCGGCTGCTGTAGAAGCTTTGAAATACAGCGAGATTGACTACGCATATATTCATGAAAGGCATTCGTACAAGTCTGCTTTCCCTGTAACCGGAAAACACGTGAGATGTTGAGGGCACAGGACACATTAAACATTTTCAGTGGGTAGGAAATTTTGAATTTTGCCTACTCTTATCGATTTTATACCACCAAGGGATCTTTAATGTGTGCAACTTGGGCACGGGACCTCCGAGATTTTTCACCCTTGTCTGAGAAGGTTAGATCTTTCCTACCAGAGATCAGGGGAGTGGCTGAAAGAGAACAGTGAGAAGGAGCCTAGGAGTAGTAGTAGAAAGGCTGCAGAAAGAGTCAAAAGCCCAGAGGAGTGGGCAAAAGAGGTGAGGGATGGGGGCAAAAGTGGGGACGAAAGCAGATGACAGAACATTGCTAGAGAGCAGGAAAGGATTTGAAAGGAGACTGTTTTAGGGAAGAAAATTTTTCCCCAAACTCTACCCCTACCCTTATCCCCAACCCTAACCCTCAACGAACAAAATAAAGTACAGACCTAACCCCAAGCCCCACCCTAACCCTAACCCTACCCTAAGCACGTTATTATTTGCGTTTGTAGCTCATTTTTAGTCTATGTTTGTTGTACATTGGGTCTAATTTAGGCCCAATGTACAACAAACATTTTAATACTTGCGTTTGTAATAAACATATTAGACCCAAACAACAATAATACGTTAATATGTAGTATTTGTTTGTTGCACTTGCGTTTGTAGCACATTTATAGGGGATAATTATCAGCTATAGTCTTTAACATGACAAGAAACTAAACATGTCCTCGTCACGAAACCTATTGCAAAAAACAAATTCATGGAGATAGAATGGGAAGAGATCATGGGATGTGCCGTACTGTCTGCGCAATTTTCGTTTAGCGCGCATCCACATGTTCTTGACGTGTTTGATGTGGATATCTGGATCGTCCCGATCCACAAAATGATGCTGGTGAACCTCAACTGATAATTTTCCCGCGCCAATATTTGAAGTGTCTCTTCAATTAACGCGTTGTTCTTTTACTTGTACATTGAGTCTAATTATTTACGCACTGAAAATGCACTTTTACCAGTAAGTTTAATTACTTAATTAAGATCTACAGTCAAGGCGGGGATGGAGGCATTTTCCAGTTTGACCTCAAGAGTACTGGATATCGATACTGTCTTAATTACTCGGTATCGATGTTTTAATCCGAAAGAGAGCGAGAGATGCATTGCTAATTTTCAGTACAAAATGAGCATTAGGCCTAGTATAAAAATATAGGTGGTTTCATGGGGGCATGCCCCCCCTGAATTAAACATAATTTGATGTTTTGCAATTAAGTTTGAATGTCTTGCTCGCCGAGCATCAAACCTCAAATCGGCACACGGGTCAAAAAGTAATTGTTTAGATTTAAAACCAGAAGTGATCGTCGGTGGAATGAAAACTCACACTTATAGTTCGTTATTGTTGGGGCCAAAACCGGATCATCCCGGGGTGGACTGGCCTATGGGCATTTGGGCAATGTCAATGGGCCGATGCTGCTGGGATAAGTGAGCCTCTTGTTGGACGAAAAAGATTGCCACCAACAACCCCAGCTGTCAGATCACTGTCATTTTAAGGTTTCAAGTTGAGTGCTATCTTTGGTCAACCAGTAACAGTGTGGCTTTTCTAACATGTTATCACAGTCATCATGATCATGATGAGGTCAGAAACAGCTGACAAGTAATGAATTGAGCTGTGGATATCCTCAAACTCAATGGTAAGAGGAGCCTACTGAATTATCATGATGTAGTGAAGACGGGCAGCTTGATTACACCTAGACAGTGAAACTGACCAGGGTACTTTCCTGGAAATTACTTTGTAAATTGATCCATGCACAGCCGGTTGATCATCTCTCTCACATAGTCAAAGCAGCAAGACACAATATGAGGACACAGTATGAGAAACCAAAGAGTTTGTGAGGTCAAGGCTCATTGGTGACTTTGCTTTTTATCACTACAGTGAATTCTATAAGGCCTCTCACAGTTATTCTCGTGATTCGTCAGTGCATTTATGAAAAAATAGCCTGACATGTTTGCTGCAGAAAATGATACCACTCTAAAAATTGCAACATAAGATCATAATTGCTCGATTGTTTGCTAAAACTGTCAAAATTCAAGAGTGAGCTATAGTGAGCGTTGTTAAATGGGACGAAACGACTGGTGGCAAAGTTCTAGTGCAGCTTGTCTTGTTTCTGATTTGATAGGACTGAATGTTGACCTCAAGCATTATAGTAGAAACTCAACCTATGGTGCAGCAAGCAAGCAGGGGAACTAGAGAACCTTCAATACTTTGCTCCAATGCAGTTCCATGTTTGATGCCACGCACATGACTGAAATCTTGTTATGACGGAAGCTACACGTGTTGTGGTGACCAGAACATAGCTTTTCTAACTGAATATATACATCGCAGTATTCGTTCAGGAATTTTACTAGCATATGAACATCTGGAGCCAATACTCTTCTACTATTGGACAGTTGGGAATTTTTAGGAAGATTTTTTTCGGTTCATTTGGCAGTCCAGTCAGGGCTCTTTTTGTACAAGTTTTGACCTGCCTTAAGTTAATGGCAAACTAGCTGCTAAAAACACCAAAGCAGCCGTTTAGGCTAAGGTAAAAGGATACGTTGGCTGTTTTCTAAAGTTTGAAACTGTTCTCTCCTCACAACTGTATCTGCGACTTTTCTCCTATTCTCAGCACTTTCCAAGTATCTGCAAACTGTGCAACTGGACCTGTTGACTGTTCATTGTGAGAAAGAGTTGCTATCAGAATGCAGATCCTGCGTGTTGACTTTTCAGATGCGTTTGAAAAGCTTCAAAGTCAACACACAGGATCTGCAGTACTTTTGAGCTGTCTTTTTCTACCTCGAAGAGGACCAAAAGTGGTCTCAGAAGTACAATTACTGACGAACATAGTCTAAAGGTGTTAAAACAATCACGAATGAACGCACGCACTCACACAGACACCCACACACACTTTCTCTGCAACTGATATTTATGTATGTAAGAAAGTAATGTGAGAAAATGCAGATGAAAACAGATGACTGAACAGGAAAGGTAAGGACAGGAGAACATTTTAGAGACTGAAATTTTTTCGTTGCTGGCAGGATTTGATCCTGAGACTTTTTGATTGAGATACAAACACTGTACTTCTGGACCATGAGAACACCCCTCTTAACTTTCAGTTTCACTTTCATGCTCTCTTTGTAAATAAATGCAGAGTATTTTCACGCTTGTGACAGAAACCACAGCACCGATATCAAATTTGAACTTTGTTGGGATGGAGTTCTACTTGATGACTGCAGACTACTTGTCTGGGCTGTTAACTTTGTTCAAAGTGATAGAAACCAACAAATCTGGGGCCTCAGTTTCACGGTAGGAGTGGGACTGGGACTGTGAATTTTTGGATGACAATGGCCAACTGCTTTGTAATGGCCTCTCTTCTCACAAGAGCCACAGACTGCAGACTGGCAGGAGGTGTCTCATTTATGGCTCGGGAGAAAACCGCTGTTTCCACAGGGTCTCTTGGAACCCTTTAGTGGAGTGTGTGGTTTGTGCGGAGGCCTAAAGCTTTAGATGCACTGTACATGTTTTGCGGTTTGTTGTGACTTGCTCAACTCGAGGTTATATGAGTGTCTGGAGTTGATAGGGGCCTTAAACCCATACCATTTCACATTTTTTGAGTATCTGGCTTTTGTCTTGAGCTACAGCTTGTCGTCTTATTTGTTTAGCCTCGTTGAGGGTGAGCACAAGCTTAAATTGGAGTTCTTTGGACAGATTGTTGTCCCCCACTCTGGAAACCGTTCTGTCTCTAATGAGCTTGTCTTTGAGGACTCCATAGCTGTAGTCTTCTACTAGCCTGTGCATATCTTGGATAAATAAATATATTGACACTCTCTTCTGGTCACTGAGCGCATTTGTTGAATTTTGCACAGGCGGAAATTTATTTTCTTGCGGGCATCAAAATGAGAATCAAATGTCTCTAACATTTCCGAGTAAGTAGCAGAGCTTTCCTTGACAGTACTTGACTGATATGTTTGTGAAGATGACATCCACTACCTCCCCCACAGTGTACAGTAGAAAACTGATCTCTGACTGTGACTTGTACTGCAGACTTGTGCAAGAACAAAATCTGGTGAAACATTGTTTCCAATGAGGCCATAATTCTGCACCTTTGTTTTCAATGGGCTGATGAACCTTAACCACCATGTCGTGTTCAGCCATGATTCAAATAGTAAAGAAATAGCACTTTATACTGTTGTCAACCGCTGCAACCGTATAATATTGTTCGGTTTGTGTGTACGAACAGTTTTTGAGAGAGTGAAGACATACATGCTTGAAAATGCTCTTCGTTTGATTTTAGCCCCACAGTACAATGTAACCAGAAAGTGACTACTTGTTAAAAGAAAGGTACTGTCTAAATCTTGGTACATTACATTTAAGTAACAAGTACTGTATTATGTATTGTACATTATTCCTCACGTCCTTTCTTCACACACATATACACATACACACATAATGTATGTTTACACTTACAAATAGGCTCACAGCCACGTGCATATACACACTTGATTGCCAATTAGTGTCAATCCGACAGAAGCAAGCTGCAACATATTATATCTTTTTATATCATACTTGGAGTTGTTTTGGCATTGCACTTCCGGTAAAATAAATCCTTATATTTTACGTCTGAAATATAGGCTAGCTAAGCTGATATCTCATACGGGAAATATAAAAAAATGCATAAATTACTCCGCACGCTCTATTCGCCTTCTAACCTTCTTAAGCAAAGTATAGACTTATATCATAAATTTCTCGATCGTGTAATGTCGTGGCAGCCACTCTTCTCTTCCCCCCCCCCAGTAAAAACTTCCCTGCAAAGCGCGCTCCCCATAGGCACCCAAATGAAGTGCCAAACATAAGTCTTCCACTGTCCCTATGGTAGAGAGTAGGCACAACTCTCTACTTTGCCCTTAATTTTGTTCCTAATTGAGTCAAATAGTGCGCTTCATAGTGAACCGGGATTAAATCAGAGTGCGGCGATGTATTTTAGTGCAATTCTAACAAATCTAGGGCTATGCTAGCGATGTGCTTGGTTTGTTTTGATTGCAAAGTTTAAAATGAAGGTCATCTCTATTCTCACGACAACATATCATATAAACGTAGTTTCTTAATTTGTCAAATTTTGAATCATATTTTTTTCTGCTTGCTTTGCCTATGTTTGCGTTATTATTGTTTCTTTTGGGGTTTATTTCACGGAGAGAGGCATATGGATAGCGCAACTTGTAAATTAGAGTGGCTAAAAATAAAGGAAAACAATCCAGATTTTTTTCCAATCCTCACTCTGACTCCAACGGGCATGAAAATGTTGTTTTCATATGAGACTCTTGAATGAATCCTCATGTCGAATTGGCTGATCATTTGAACTTTGTTGGTCTGGATTTGTTTCGCCAGCTGATATCAGTATGGTAAAGAAAATTTATTACACTCGTTATGGTGATTACAACTTGGCAATTTCACTCGTACGGTAGGATAAATCATGATCCAACACCACAACTCATGTATTAAATTATTTATGTTATATATACAGGACCTTTGCATTTTGAAGAGGAAACCACACACTCTTCAGACCTCAAAATTTAAATGAAAATAGCATTCAATATCCTAAGAACATGACTTGGATGGATTTTCATGATTTTTTAACTTAAAAAGTTATGAAATTGTACGTTTTGATGGCTAATGTTATAAAAGTCCAAAATTGAGTCTTTGGTTTGGTTTCCTGTTCTGTTTTTAAAAAAAGTTATATGCTAAAATTGTTATGATCTGGAGAAATTGTTTTTGGAGAACCTCTGATTGATTTCTCATAGATTATTTGAAATTTTGATCTTAACAGCAGACAATTATGTATTTTACTAGGTTACAGATTCATCAATGCCTCTAAGTAAAATTTGAAAATATTTTGGTCTAGCCTATACTCAGTCCCTATCTCTTTAGACTATTTCATGCTGAACTGAATGCATTTTGGGGGGGGGGGGGGGGAGGGGGTAATGTTTTGAAATAATGTAGCCTTTAAAATAAGTTTTTCCAAAACGTACTGCTGTTGAAAAACAGCAACTGACCTTTCAAAGAGTCTTAACACATTTTTAAAACTCATATAAGTCTACTTCTCCTTTTTTTCAGTTCTCGGCCAAAGTTGCAGCTATGGAGATACAGCAGAAACCTGCTAATGACAAATTCTCCAGATTGAGTACATTTCCTTGTACTTTTAATCTCAGTCTACCTCAGATGATCACAGTCAAAAGAATGAATCTTTTGAAGAAAAAGCTCCCCAAAGAACTAGAAGATGATAACCTAAAAGAAGAGAGTGTTCAGACATTAAATTTTATTTCATGGATTGAATACCAATTGAATGGTGCAGAGTCAGCTTTAAAGTGGAATAAAAAAGCACGTAAGATTAAGATACTTGATTCTTTTGGGAAAGAAATGAATAATATCGCCACCATTGCAAATCAAGGGTATTTGTTGCTGCTGTCACATGATGAAATTGCTCCACTGGAAGTGATTGAGAGGCTGGAAAAGTTGCCTTCACAAGATGGTTACCAGAGTTTGAGAAAACGGGCCTTGGCTGATCAAGCTTATGCTTACTTTCGGATGGGAGGTGTTTCCAATTTAGCCATGTCCATAGAGCGGTATGAAGAGGCTATCGAGAGCCAGCTGGCTAGTCCGGAGGTACATTTATGGAAATATCAACTTGCTGTCGTGTACAGAAGAGCGTCCTGTGGAGAGATTTTCTCTAATCTTCCTGGAAACCGTCCTCTAAGTTACTACAATGAAGGAGCTGAAAAACTATTGCGTGATGTGGCTGAAAACTGCTTGGATTGTACACTTAAAGGGCGTGCTTTTGCTGAGTTGGTCTCCGTCAACCCTACAGACACTGTTTCCTGGGAGAAGGCTGTAGAATGCAACAAAAAATGTGGAGATGTGTTTCTCCTGACCACATTAGGTAAAGCAACATCGACTGTGGACCCGGACAAGGCTATTCATGTATTGAGAGAGTCTCTTAAGATTCGACCAACTACAACTGCATATCACAATTTAGCAATTTGTTATGAGAAAAAGGCAAAGGATAATTTGTTGAAAACAACCAACTGTGATGAGCAGTTTCGAAAATCTTCCAAAGTTGAACAAAAACGAATGAATGTGGTCAGCCTTCAGCTACAGAGAGAACAGGAAATTCTATTGGACAAGGACGAAGAAATGATTGCACAGGCACTAAAGTTTTACAAGGAAGCACAGAAACTTGAAGATGGAGAGTATACTCCTGCGAAGTATGATTATGGACTTCTCTTGAAAGCTTGCGGTCTCACAGAAAAAGCTTTAAAACAGTTTAATCAGATCACATCAATTCATTCAGGCTTCCTAGGCACAACCATTTTTGCATATGAAGAAGCAGCCAGATGTCTTCTCATTTTGAGTGAAAGAGCACAATCCAGTGGGTCCTGTCCTAAGTACAAACAGTTGAGAGAGGAAGCGGTAAAAAAGCTCTTGCAGGCTATCAGTACTTCAGCTAACATTGTTAAAGGCACCCACGCTATGAAATCACTGTCAGAAGATATTTGGGCTTTTTTAAAGCATACGCATGGCGGCGACAAAGTGGGATCCAGTGATGAAGCAGTCAATATAGAGACCGAAAAAAAATTGCTCGACTTAATGAGGCGGGTGGAACGGTATGGAGAGGAAATGCTTGGGGTGGTGAGAAATCTGTTGAAATACAGTGAGGAGCAACTGGATGATGAGAACGTGATTGTGGCTGGATTAGAAAGTTATTTGAAAATCCAAAACTTTGATGAGGCAATTGTGTTTCTTGAGATGTGTCAAACTCGGCATGCAACCCTTGAGAATAACTTGTGGATTAAAGACCCCCTCAAATCTCTGAGCATCAGAGTTCAGTTACTCGCTGCTCAGGATAAATTATTGGGTAGATGTGGTGAAGCTATAGCTATCTTCAAGTCTTTGTTTACATCTCTGTACAAGAACAGAAGTAGTCCAGATGTACTGGTTGTGTATGATGATTCAAACGACAATGAGAGTGGGATGTCCCACACGTCTGAGGCGGCAAGCAGACTTCAGACTGTTATGTGTGACTTGTTCGACCTGGACCTTAGCAGAAACTTGCAGGTGAGGTGCTAAATGTTTTCTTGTTAAAAATTCTTTTCAGTGCTATCCCCCCG